TATTCTTTATGTCTTTGTACATTTATGCTGCTAACAACTCTCTGCTTATGTCTCTGTCCCCTTCCTCTTCATCCCTGCAATCCTTCACATCACCTTTCCTAGGTATGTTTCTGAAGAGTGCTCTTTCTCTGTTCCTTCCTTTGGCTTCTCAGCATCCCACTTGCCTTTACTTCCCACTCCCTTCCAGAGTCAGCTCTCTGTTGTTTCCTAGCTTCCCAGTTCACTTGTGGTCCTTCCCTCCCCGCTCCAAGCAGTAAGAAAGTCAGAACCGAATCTGCCTTCTCCATCTCAACTGTTACCACCCCCTTTATCACAATCCCAGCAGCAGACTCTCCATGCCCAAGTTCTGCAGCAGTTGCTACTGTTCCCCCTTCACGGGTGACAGGGAGGCCAGACGGCTCATAATCCGATTGCTTTCCTTATTCTCTGACACCCTGGAGAAACCACACATTTCATTTGGTGGTCGTCAGAAATAACACGCTTAAGCAACCTGGAATTATAAAACTGCTTAATTAGAGAGAGATGGTTTCACTGGGATATGCCCAGTTCTCCCCGGTGGTTCTATCTGCTTCTCCAAGTGCCTCCCCCCACCCCGCCAGCAGCTAATTGCTACCTTTAGCTTTCTCTCTCCCTTTATTTTATTTTCTGTGACATCAGGGCTTGCTTATAAAGAAAAGTACTCTCTTCCATGTTCCAATTCTGTTTCTCCATCAGCAAACTCTAGACATTGACCTGAGTAATAAGGGTGGAAATTTTGTGCTTCCAAGGTGTCTAGCTCTTAAGTAAGCACCGACTTTGTGTTGCCTGCTGGTGATATGACCAGGAGCCAAATTATCTTCATGCTGATGGGGCTTGCAATCCAGAGGAAGAGAGAGATAAGTTTTTTTAAATATTGTAAGAGGTGATCTAAAAGAGGGATTTAAAGGGTGTAACAGGAGCACCTAATTAAGTAGTTGGGGAAGAGTTCTCATAGGAGGTGACGGCTAGGTGAGACACAGAAGATATACAAGTGTTAGCTTGGCAAAGAGTATGGGACCAGATATCCATCTGCAGAGGAGGAGCTTGGTCTTCATAACAAAGCACCTGAAAGAAGGGCCCAAAAGCTGTTCCCTTAGTCTGCCCTGAAATTCTGGGGATATGTTGGGAGCCCCCAGACTTGACTTATCTAGCTTCTGATGTGTAGGGGGTCAGTAAACCACAAGCTGCATTCAAATATGCCCTAACACCTGTTTTGGTAGATAAAATTTTACAGCCGTGCCTATTTGTTTGTCTGTTGTCAATAGCTGAGGGGTATAGTGGTGACAGAGGCTGTATGATCTCAAAGCCAAAGTAGTCACTATCTGGCCCATGGCAGAAGAAAAAAGTCGCTGACCTTTGTTCTGGATTCACCCATTAGGCCAGTGGGAAGTGTGGGGTCTGGACCAGAGGACCAGCTCTCAGCCAGTGGAGCCTGAGAATTGGGGGAATCCAAAGACAATGACGAGGGAACAGAAATAGCAAGGTAGCTGGCAATAGGATCTGACTACAGGCTCTGTGGTTCCCGAGGCTGCACTCTTACCCACCAAGCCAGACTGGTGGTACAAGATCAGCCTGAGAGGGGACAGGAGGGTCTGTCCCCCAGAGCCAGCCAGATGCCAGCAGGCAGGGGTTCGCAGAGACACAGGGACATAGGACCTTTCATGAGGTGGTCATATCCTCACCCATCATGGGGCCAGGTGGACAGAACAGGAGGCTTCTCAGCAAGATAGTCAAAGACTGACCATCTTTTCCATCACCTCTGGGCTTCTGCAACACCATCATTGTGCCCACATTACTGCACTGTCCTTCTTCCACTTATCCATTGAAAGAGAGCTTCTCAAACTTAAACATGCACACCTATCACCTGGAACCTTGTTAAATTACAGATGGTTCTGGGCTTCAGCAGGTCTGGAGTGAGGTTTTGATTCTGTAAGGTCAGACATGGGGGTGAACGGATGACTGGATGCCTGTCCTTGGTCCTTAGAAGATGTGGGTACATCCACTTCAAGGGGTCCCCTTGCAAGTGACCTGTACCCTGGCCATCAAGACAGAATATAGCAACATGGATATAAAGTCTCTATCCATAGCCTTTTACATCATCCATTTGTGGATACACAACATGTTTTCATAACCTTTTTCTCCCTCTAATTTAAACACATCATATGCTCAGTACTGAAAAAATTGGAAAAGACAGAAAACCACAACGAAAATGAGTAGTTTCTGCATTCTGTGGCTTTTCCACTTGGAACTATAATATGAGCATTTCCCTGAATCAATAGATATCTTTTGCCAGGATTATTTCTTTTTTAATTTTTTATTTTGGAATAATTTTCAACTCAGAGCAAAGTTGCAAAAATAGAGCAGAGTTCCCATGTACCCGTTGCCTAGCTTTCCCTAATGTTACATTTAATATAATCATAGTTCAGTTAGCAAAGCCAAGAAATTAAGATCAATTCCCTTACTAGTAGCTAAACTGCAGACCTTGTCACATTTTGCCCATTGTCCCACAGATGTCTTTTTCCTGATCTAAGGACCAAATCTAAGATTCCACATTGCATTAGTCACATCTCCCTAGTCTTGGCTTAGATGGTAAAGAATCTGCCTGCTATGTAGGAGACCCAGGTTCAGTTCCTGAGTCAGTAAGCTCCCCTGGAGAAGAGAATGGCTACTCACTCCTGAAGAATTCCATGGACAGAGGAGCCTGGCAGGCTATGGTCCATGGGGTCACAAAGAGTTGGACATGACTGAGCAACTTTCACTCACCTACTTCTCCAATCTAACAATTCCTTGGTCTTTTCTTGGTCTTTCGTGAATGTCATGCTTTTGAGGAATGTCGGATAGTTATTTTGTAGAATGTTCCTCAGTTTGGATTTGTCTCTTGTTTTCTCATGATTCAATTGAGGTTGTAAGTTTTTGACCAGAATACACAGGAGTGATGCTGTGTTCTCAGTGCAGCTTATCAGGGGTTTAGTCTTCAGTGATGTATTACTGGGGATGTTAACCTTAATTAACCTTGGTTAAGGCCATATGTGCTGGATTTCTTCACTGCAAAGTCACTCATTTTCAGGATGGTATTTGACTGGCTGTATGGCTTTGCAGTATTGATCTCTATCATAACCAGACCCTCTTTGTACACATTTACTTTGTCACCTGTTTTTTGTGGGGTTTTTTTTTTTTGCTCTGTTACAATGAATGCTGCAGTGGCCATTCCTACTGACATATCTATTAACCCAAATCCCTGATTTATTAGTATAAATTCCTAGAAGTAGAAATGCTGGAACAAAAATTATTCACTTTTAAAAAAACATTTATTTATGTATTTATTTATTTGGCTGCATGGGGTCTTAGTTGGGATCTTTGGTCTTCATTGTAGCATGAGGAATCTTTAGTTGCAAACTCTTAGTTGCGACATGTGGGATCTACCAATAGTTCCCTGACCAGGTATCAAACCAGGGTCCCCTGCATTGGGAGTGTGGGATCTTAACCACTGAACCACCAGGGAAGTCCCTATTTGTATTTTTAAGGCTGTGCGCGCTTGGGGCAGGGCTGTTTGTTTCTGTTTGTTTGTTTCAGTCGGTTTTATTGAGGTTGTAGAACATTGTATATCTGTACAACAAAACACATAGATCTGAAGCACACATTTCAGTGAGTTTTGGCAAATGTATGCACATGAATAACCACCACCCCATCACTATATACAGTATAAAATTTTATGTAGACAATCTGCAATTTCTTTCATTCCCCCAAATTCCCTGATGCCCCTTTACAGTCTGTCCTCTCCCATCTTGTCCCAGGCAACCACTGACCTTGTTTCCACTATTGCAGTTTACCGTGGGCTGTTCTAGACCTTCATGTAAATCACAATGACACAATATGTACTCTTTTGTATCTGACTCCTTTGATTGGCTAGAATGTGTAAGACTCATCCAGGCTGTTGTGAATCACAAACATTTGTTCCTTTTTTATTGCTGAGTAATATACTATTGTATAAATATACCACAATTTGTTTATCCATTCTTCCATGGATGGATGTTTGGGGCTGTTTCCAGTTTGGGGATATTATGAATAAAGCTGCTATGAACATTTACCAGTGAATGGACATATATTTTCCTTTCTCTTGGGTGCACACCTGGGAGTGGAATTGCTGGGTCCTAAAGAGGTTTCTGTTTAACCTCATTGAACATGGCAGGGTAGGTTGTTTTCATGTCCATTTTATAGCGCAGGCTCCAGAAAGCTGAGAGACTTGAATAAAAGCCAAGAGAGGAAGAGAAAGAGAACCCTAAATACTTTTCCTGTTTATTTCCTTTAATCTTCAGAGCCACCCAGAAGGTAGCAGTTAGGATTCCCATTCTGTAGATGATGACAGTGAGGCTTGTGGACATGTAGCAAGTTGAGGTTCTGAGTGCCCCCCAGCCTGAGACCCCACCCCTGAGTCCATGTTCTTTCCCCACATACGATCCTGCCTCCTTGGAGACAGTAGGCAGGGGAGCTGGGCCATCTTCTCCCCTCCTCTTCTCTGCCTATCCTTCTCTGCATCCCGTGGTCCACCCTGCCCCTGCCACTGAGGGCAGTCATCCGTGAAGCTGGGGCCAGCCCCCTAGAGATGAGCGTGATCTGTGTGCAGAGCCAGTGACTGTTGCCCCATGATCAGCTTGGAGCCCTCAAAGCCACAGCAGGCACCAGGGAGTGACCCCCACTCCAACCTTCTACCAAAGGTGTCCAGTTTCTACCTCCCTGAAAGGCGATCCTCAGAGCGTTGATCTCCTGGGCTGGTGGGCAGCGGGCGAGGGCAGCGGGCAGGGGCCTTGTTTCCCTGGCCACATCGCAGGCCCATTAGGAGCAGGCCTGAGTGCTTTCCAGAGCTGATTAATGGGCTGGCTGTGACCTGGAATGTCATATACTCCCCAGGCTGGAGGGCCCCCCAGCTGGGTCCTTTGGGTCTTTACTGCTGATAATAATTGATGCTTTCTGTGCGGTTGCAGGGAAAGTTCTATCTGGTCATCGAGGAGCTGAGCCAGCTGTTCCGATCCCTCGTTCCCATCCAGCTGTGGTATAAATACATCATGGGTGATGATTCCTCCAACAGCTACTTCCTGGGAGGGGTCCTGATCGTCCTGTACAGCCTCTGCAAGGTGAGGCGGCCTGGGGGCTAGTGGGCTGGCCTAAGGACGACCCATTCACCAGCTGGACCTGGCAGGTGCGGGGGGGCAAGTGAGGAACCTGGATAAACACGCTAATCTCTTTCTGTTTAACTGAAAAACTAAATTCACACAGTACGAAATTATTTTATCATTTTATAGTGAACAGTTCAGTGACATTTAGAAGATTCTCATTGTTGTGTCACCACCACCACTGTCTAGTTCCAGGACATTTCCATCACCCCACAAAGAAAGGTGGCTCAGTGGTAAAGAACCTGCCTGCCAGTGCAGGAGACTCAGGTTCGATCCCAGGGGCTGGAAGTTCCCCTGGAGAAGGAAATGGCAATCTTCTCCCGGATTCTTGTCTGGGAAATCCCATGGACAGAGGAACCTGGTGGGTCACAGTCCATGAAGTTGCCAAGAGTTGAACAGGACTTAGCAACTAAACAACAACAGCAGCAACTTATGAAGCATCACTCTTCCTTCTTCTATCAGCCACTGGCTACCACAGGTCTTCTTTCTGAAGACTCTCTGGATTTACCTTTTCTGGGCATTTTCATGTAGATGGACTCATACACTCTGTCATCTTTGGTGTCTGGCTTCTTTTACTTAGAGTCATTTCTGAGGTTCCTCCACATTATACCATATGTCAATACTTTCCTGCATTTATGGGTACAGGCATCCTAATTTCTTGCCCATAAAACTCACTATATGCCATCCTTTCTCGTTGTCTTCTTCACAACAACCCTTCCAGATACATTCCATTATCATGTCAATATTATGGGAAGGGTACTGAGGTCCAGAGAGAAGTATCTTGCCCAGTATCACTCAGCTGGAGATCACAGAACGAGCATCAAACCCAGGCAGGCTACCTCCAGAATCTGGAGATCTCAACCCATCAACAGCATGGCCATGGAATTTGTTTTCTGTTCCTCTTAAATTGCACACCCTCAACTCTGCAAGTCAGTATAGAGTGCTTCTCTTTTCATCATTAGTGCAGACTCAGATTCCCCCACCCCCAACAATAAGCACATCCTCCTCTTTCTTTTTCTATATCTATTTCTGGCTTGTAGAGAATCCTGGAAGAATCATGTGTTCCCTTTCCTTAAAGCAGGACTGGCTAGGCAGTCCATGTAGAGTCAGCCACTACGGCTTGTCTTGCCTGCCGATTCTGATCTGCTGGCCATGGCCAACAGGAGTGCTAGATGGAGAAGGATGATCACAGCCTGGCTCAGAAGAAGAGTGATCGATGTGCAATGCCTGCCCTGGGCTTATGGCCGGGGAAGAGGCAGTAGGCATGCCATATATTCGCCATCCTTGCCCCACTGGCAGAGGAGACTGCTGATGGGTAGCAAGACAAAAGCCAAGCAAAACTTGTGGGAATGGGAAGTTTCAAATGGGAGGATGTACCCTGCAGATGTTCAGAGTCAAAATGAGGCCCATGGTGAGAAAGATCCTGAACCATCCTTGGATAGTTTGTAGCCATCCCCTCACTCTCCTTTCAGTCCTTCGACATCTGCGGCCGTGTGGGCGGAGTCAGGAAGGCCCTGAAGCTTCTCTGCACCTCTCAGGTGAGTTGGCTTCTGATGGGCCTCACCTAGCTCATAGGAGCCGGGAACTGGGATGAGACCACACTGTGCTTCTGAGGGTACCTCTCCAGTGAGGGGCCACAGCTGTGTTTGTGTCTTTCTCCCTCCCTTCTGTCAAGCAGAATTACGGAGTCCGGGCCACGGGGCAGCAGTGCACAGAAGCTGGTGACATCTGTGCCATCTGCCAGGCTGAGTTCCGAGAGCCTCTGGTCCTCATGTGCCAGGTGAGCAGGGCCGGGCGGGACCACTGGAGACGGGGGCCATGGGGCCACAGGACCCTGCCCCATGCAGGAGTCCCAGGTGCCTGTCCTCTGGCCAAACCTCAGGGCTCTGGACTGGGTCTCTGGGAACAGTGTGGTCAGGCCTGGGGTCCGTCAGACCCAAGTATAAAACTTAGTTCTGCCTTTTCCCAGCTGGCTGCCTTGGGGCAGGTTACTTCACCACTCTGAGCCTTGGTTTCATCAGTAAAATGTAGAAAATGCACATTTCAGTATGGTACAGTGTCAGAATGTTCTGCATGTGAATCTCAGCAGGTGTGTGGACCCCAAATGGCTCAGTCCATCTCCCCAAGTCTTGGTTGTTTTCATTTATAAAACAGGTATCATCATAATGCCTACTTTATTGAATCATAGGAGCTATTCTTATGGTCAAATGAAATCATCCCTGGAAAGAGCTAAATTTGAAATATTCAGCCCTAAAACTTTATACTATTATAGTTATTAGCATCATTATAATTATTACTACCACTTGTTTTCATTATTAGTTGTGGATCACCAACTCATAGGTCTGGTCAGTTACTTTGAGCTGCCTAAACTCATCCCTTCTCCTCCTCCCCCAACCCTTCCCCCTCCCCCTCCCCTTCCTGACATGGGGGCGGGCTAAGATGTCAATTCAGCAAATGTGTATGAGTCAAAGCATCCTATCAGACACCCGGGAGGGGAGGCACGGGGCACACAGGCCCTGTCCCCTTCTCTAGAAGTACACAGTCTCCCTGGGGAAACAGACACATACATAAATAACTATGAAACAAGGCAGGCAGTGATAAGTGCTGTGTAAGAGAGATTCATGCAGCGTCCCAGGGGACCGGGCCAGAGCGCGATGAGTTGGAGGTTGAGAAGGCTTTGGGGGAGGCGTAGCCTGCAGACTGGAAGGAATGGGAGAGCATACGGCTCTGCCCCTACCCCCTCGCCCCCACCACGCAGGGGTAGGAGGACAAGAGGTGGGGGCCTTTTTTGGCAACAGCAAAATTTTTTTGTTTTTGCTGTTTGGGGATGTTTAGGAGGTTCATTTTTAATTTTTAATTGTATTTATTTTTTAAATTAAGAATAAATTTGTGTGATTCAAAACGTTCAAAAAGGAGATGAAGAAGTCATGATGATTAAATGCAGTGTGGGACCTGATACAGAGAGAGGACAGGAGGGAAAAACTAATGTCATAAAATCCAAAAAGAGGCTGGACTTTAGTCCATGGTCATGCCTGTGTGGGTTTCTTTTTTGGCTTTGACAAATGGACCATGGTGATGCAAGGCAGTGATGCTGGGGGAGACGGAAACTGGGGGAGGGATATCCAAGACTTTTCTGTAGTGCCTTTGCAGACTTCCCTGGTAGCTCAGCTACCACCTGCAAGGCAGGAGACCCTGGTTTGATTCCTGGGTCAGGAAGATCCCCTGGAAAATGGATAGGCTACCCACTCCAGTATTCGTGGGCTTCCGTGGTGGCTCAGTCAGTAAAGAATCCACCTGCAATGCAGGAGACGTGAGTTTGATCCCTGGGTTGGGAAGATCACCTGAAGGAGAGCATGGCAACCCACTCCATTATTCTTGCCTGGAGAATCCCCAAACAGAGGCACCTGGTGGGCTGCAGTCCATGGGGTCACAAAGAGTTGGACACGACTGAGTGACTAAGCACAGCACAGTACAAGATTATTTCAAATTAAAAAGTTCTTTAAAAAGATACTTTAAATATACAAAAAGGGAAGTGATAACAGGGCTCCTTTGCTTATCCCTAGCTCTCTAGGCCCCTAAATACCCACACGGGCAACCATTGTTGCCAGGTCCCTTTATATCTTTCCAGAGATGCTCTGAAAAGTTTAAATACACAACACACACCATGAACATATCATTTCCAAAAAGACCTAACTTGTGACCCATTCTATCCAAGCTTCATTTTGCATCATTTCTTTTTGACTTGAAACTGCCTGAAGAGATTGCTCCTTATTTGCATAACATCCTATTTTTATGGATTGACCATACTTTGTTCAACTATCCTCCCATTGATGGGCCTTTAGTGGTTCATAATCTTTTGTTACAACAAATATAGTTGTCAGGAGGGATCAGGGATAGGGAGATCTGTAGCACCTACCTGGACTCATTGTGTTGATTAAATGAGCTAATTCAGGTGATGCATCTAGAACTACACCTGGCACATGGTCAGGGTTCCATAAACATTAGCTCTCATTAGCACGTATTCCATTTCACATGTGTGCAAGCTCTTGGTAGGATACATTCCTAGTAGTGGAATTACTCGGCCAGAGCGTATGCAGTCTGACAGATACTGCTAAATCACCTTCCATAAAGGAGTGTATCTGTTTGTGGTCCCAGTGAGGAGTGTGACGTGCCCTCTTGCTTTGCCCCCCCTCACCAACACACCACATTATCAAGCCTTTCCTGAGCCTCGCCAATCTGACAGGTGACAAACGCTATCTTGGTGCAGTTTTCATTTGCATTTGTCTAATTATGAGAGCAGATGAGCATCTTCTCATATGCTTCAGAGCCATCTGTATTTCCTTCTCGGTAGCAGTGATTATTTGAACATGATGTCAAGGTGAAAGTTTTTCTTCTTCCTTGATGGCAGTCTCTCTAAGCCTTTATCTGTGTGTCTCTCCGCCATTCTTCTCCCAGTACCACTATGTGTTCCCATCATTGGATTAGAATTGGTGGGAGGGGTTGGACAAGACACCACCATCCCAGAGCTAGGAGCAGTGGCCACACCCAGGGCTGGTTGAAGCTCTGGGCTTCATACCTGGCCATACCTGGCACATACCTGGCCGGGCCCAGTACATGCCTCAGTCTTGCTCTGTTCCTGTGAGCTGGGCTTAGAAGGACAAGGACAAAGATACCTTCCACAGGGAAAAGGGCCTCAGTAATTCCTAAATGCACTGAATGAATGAGCAAAGGGATGAATGAGTCAAGTGTTACATCCTCATTAAAGGCTTCCCTGATTCTGTTTCCCCAGACTAGTTAGCACTCCTAGCTATGCAGCCTCCAGATCCTATGTTTTTCCTTCAGAGAACTTATCCCAGTTGTCAGCTAGATGGCTAATTGGGCAGCTGGTTAGGTAAGGTCTGTCTCCTCTTTGCCAGATTGTAAGCCACTTGGGAGTGGTGACCATATCTGTCTTAGTAGTGTAACCACAGTACTGACTCAGTAAACATTGGCTGGATGGAAGGAATGGGATGGTTGGAGAGATGGATGGATGGATGGGTGGATGGCACAGACAAGGTGGATAGAGCATCTTCTGACGGCAGGGTGGCCCGCCCCCCACCCCAGAATATCTCTCCCAAGTTCACACTCCAAGAGACATAGCCAGGGAACGGTTAACCATCCAGCCCCGCCTGCAATCCCCCACCAACAAACCAACCTGATGCTACACATCCCAGCCCAGAAGGACCCCTCCGCCCCCTCCCTCTGTAGACACGCCTTTGTTTCTCTAGATGTAGGAGGCAGTCCTAGGTCATGAGCTCCTCCAGCCCGTCCCCTGGGGTCCTGTGTGCTTTGAATCTAATTTGGCACCAGATTCTGTCCTGTCTGATTCTCTGAGAAGGAGACCATGAGCTCCTGGAGGCCAGGGACGAGGTCTTCATCATCCTGGTATCTCTAGACTCTCCCAGCTAACCTGCCTGGGAAGGCATTCATCTGTCAGAGTGCAGGCCAGGGCTAGGCGGTGGGGCTACAGCAGCAGCAGTCACTGCCCCCAAGGAGCTGCTGGGCTTGCTGACCCTTGGGTCCTGCCCTTCAGGCCACGGTGAGAATTTGGGCACGGCCTCCTCACCTCCTCTCCCCCACTCCCCTACACCCTGTAGCCACATTAAGCATCTCAAGATTCTCACTTTCCCATCTCAGGAGGTTTGCACAGCTGTTCCCTTCAGCTTGGAATGCTCTAGCCCCACCCCCTCTCTTCCCCCAGTTAACCCCTAAACATCCTTCAGACTTCAACACAAGCATCACCCCACCTCCAGGAAGCCTCCCTTGACTACTCAGGGCAGAAATTGTCTGTCTTGTTCATACTGGGTCTCAGCTCCTAGGGCCAAGGCGGGCATGGAGCGAATGCTGGGGGAAGCAACCCCAGTGGTCCTGATTGCTGTCCCCCGCAGCACGTGTTCTGTGAGGAGTGCCTCTGCCTCTGGCTGGACCGTGAGCGCACCTGCCCGCTCTGCCGCTCGGTTGCCGTGGATACCCTGCGCTGCTGGAAGGACGGGGCCACTTCGGCACACTTCCAGGTGTACTAGGGCTGAAGACTGTGGCCCCGGGGCTCCCAGGCACACCAGGGAGATGACGGAGGGTCAGTGGTGTCGGGACCACCTCTAGGAGCTTCCTGGAAAACAGCCCTCAGGCTCCGACTGTCCTGCCTCCTGCCTCTCTCCATCCAGCCCCTGTCCCCCACCCCACCCTCCCTTTCCTCTTTTGTTCTATTCATGGCATGCGCACCCTTCGCCTCCACATGGGGACGCCGTCTCACTCACACTTGGTCTCCACCAAGGTCTGTCTCCCTCCTCCCTCTGAGTCAAAGAACTGATAATGGACCAGGTTCTACTTGTTGGTGATCATAACCCGTGGTGACCTGACACCTGATGCTGCAAACTGGAGAGAGGCCTTTCAATGCTGCCTCCCCACCAGGGGCCCAGGTCTGCAGGTGAGAATCACCCTGAAGTACTTTTCAAATGCAAATGCTGGCCCCACCTCATACCTACAGGAACCCTCAGAGTGAGCCAGGCAGTCTGGAACTTTTGGCCCAGTCGACCTCCTGAAACACTCACGCCGCCCCAAGGTGGAGGTACTGTTGTCTCCTGTTTCACAGGTGAAGAAACTGAGCTGAGAACTCCACGTGGAAACTTTCCCAGGTCACCCGATGAGCAGTGATGGACCAAGCTTCCAACCCCGGCCGTCTGGCTTTGGAGCCTGCCTCTTAACCACACACTGACTTGCTGCTCAGACACAGCAGGCGTGGGGCCCCTCAGTCATGTTTTTTTTTTTTCTCTTCAAAGCACAAGAGGTGATTCTGACGTCATTGGTGACTCAAGTATGTAGTGTGTTTCATTTGGACTGCGTTGAGGATGCTAATAGCGAATGCCAGCTCCGGAAATCTAGTCATGATTGGGTTCACGGAAAAGTTTGGTCCTTAAAGTTGCTGTTTAGCTGGATTCCTGCCAGGATGCTCGGTTGTGATTGGGTATCTTCCAGGTGGCGCAGTGGTAAATAATCCACCTGCCAATGCAGGAGACATGAAGATCCCCTAGAGAAGGAGATGGCAACCCCCTCCAGTATTCTTGCCTGGGCAATCCCATGGATGGAGGAGCCTGGCGGGCTGCAGTCCATGGGGCTGCAAAAGAGTCGGATACAACTGATAGAACACAGCATATGGCACATCAAGAAAGGCCAGTTCTGGAGCCTCCCCCGGAGGCAGTGGTTAAGACTGTGCTCCCAGTGCAGAGGGCCTGGGTTTGATCCCTGCTCAGGGCACTAAGATCCCACATGCCATGGGATGTGACCTAGAAGTGAAAAAAGAGTAAGGCCGGCTCTGGTCCAGATGCAGGTGTCACTGGGTGTCCCTTCCGGTCTTTATTTCTCTCCTCCTTTTGTCCTGTCCCTCATTTAAGTCTCAGATTTGTCAACAGCTCCTGTGGCCATTGCCTTCTCCCCTGGTAGCCTTCAGAGCAAAAGGCAAGATCCTTGTCACGGATTTTTTTTTCCACAAGCCAGTATGCTGGCAGAGAGCACAGCAGCGATTGGTGTTTCCTGGAATGTCTCTACCAGAGCTCCCAATCTCTGTAACACAAGCTCTCCACCCACAAGACCCTCCCTGCTCTGAAATCTGGGAGGAGAAGGCACAAGTGGTCCTTTGGAAGCCACTGGAATCTTGCCTGGCCTACCCACCCTCCCAGTGCTATTCTCCCACTGTCAACCTCAGCACCACAGGCTGGTGCCAACAGCATTACAGAGAGAGCAATCTGGGTGGTTCCTGAGCAGATTAGCAAGAAAATCCTAGAGAAATGGTGGGAGCCTTGCTGCCACCTCACCCTCAGCCAGGCTTCTCATGCCCATCCCATCCCTAAGAGATTCAGGACATTCACCCCTTTTGTGCTATCAAGTCAGGACCTTTCCTTTGCCTGACTTCCCTGGCTCTTTCCTGATACCCAGCAAGACATCCCTTCCAGGGCAGCATGGCATCTTTCAAGCTCTGTTACTATGGCAATGGCCGTGATGTTAACAATCCCACTTGCCTGGATAATCAAGTCGGAAGGGGAAGTGGGGCCAGGCGGATTTGGCTGCTCTGCCCCCTCTCCCCTCTACCCCCCACCCCCACCCTGCTGCCTTGAGGAAGAGCTGAAGGGACACACCAGGAGCTTCTACAGCTGATTTTTATCAGAAGGATCATCCTGCCTGCAGATGCCATCAAAGAAGCATGAGAAAATGCCACTGAAGAAGACTTATTAATGTGCCAGCATGTGATGGCGCAGACAGAGCAGTCTGCTGGGAGTCAGGCCTGGAATTCTGATTTCAGACTCCGCATGGCTTTGGGAAGTCACTTTGCCTCCCTGTAGCCATCTCCAGGGCGACAAAGCCTGGTGCATTATCTACGGGAGCCAGGGAAACCAGCGATGTAGATTACTGATGAATACCCCAACCATTTTGTCAATTATACTCATGCCACCAAAAAAAATATTGAACATTCTGCAAATAATGAGCCGTGTCTCAAACACTAAAGAGTGTCACATGCGGGGGACACTTGGGCGGGGGGCAGGTGGGATGATTTAGTTTAGATTTTATTTATTCATCCCACCCTCTAGCAGAAAGTCACGTTCTGGAGGTTCCCTTTTGGAGTGGGAAGATTTAACTTCTGCTTAAGGCAGAGAAACAGAGGCCAGGGCAGAGGTTTCCAGACATCAAGCTGCATGTTTTCCCTAACACAAGATTTTAGTAAAAGCAGCCAAGAGTCACCATTGGAAAGGAAGAGCAATGCCACTGTCTTTTATCCACCTTCGCTCTGCAAACTCATTTGTTAGAGGCAGGGTTAATTGAGTGTCAGGTGGGAGAGTCCTGCTCTTAATATTTTATGATTCACTGGCTAAAGTTCCACGGAGTCCTTGGAAATGGCTCTCCTAATGTAAAAGATCTTGAATATGATAAATATGAGATTGAAAAAAAAAAAAAAAAAGCTTTGGACCTGGATGTCATAGGTTCATTATCTTCCTAAGGGGAGCATGTGAGAGGCATGGGAAGACTTCCAAGCTGCCAAGACTTGGGGGTGGAAATAGGAAATATAAAGTGAGTCCTAGAATCTTTTAGTATGTTTGCTCTGGGCCAAACAGAGCCGCCTTTGGTGTGTTTAACATCCCCTTAAGTTGCGGTCTGCCAATAAATATGATGTGTTGATAAAAGAGTCTCCATTTGCCTCTTGAAGCCAGGTGGACCTGTTTTAGGACAATTTTGAAGAGATGTTTTGTGCAAGGGGTGGTTTTGATGGCAGTGTTTCCCTAGAGTGGATCCCATTGAGTTGCACGTGATTTATTAAGGAAGTGCCCCCAGGAGAAACCAGTAAGGGAATGAGTGAAACGGGAGAGGAAGGAGATGGAGCCCAACAAGAGGGCGACTTTCAGGGAAGTCCCAGCTCAGCTTGGTCCCACGGGGAGCTCTGGAGCATCAGTTACATCTCAGGGTTGGTCCCACCCTGAGGCTTCTGTGCTCCCAGCTGTGGGCTCATGCGGGGGGTGGGAGGGACTCTCAGGCACTCCACTAAGGAGGCGCCTCAAAGTGCCAGGTGCCATAGAACACATAAAGGTGCAAGACAGCACCGAGGACTGGCAAGAGGGATCAGAAGGATCTATAGTGCCCGCCGCAGCCTTCACTATAGGCTGCCTTCAGCCTATAGTGCATGGGCTGATTCAAGAAGGGTTTTCCCAGACCCCAGGTGATGATGGGTATTTAAAACATAAATAGCAGTAGTGACAACTGGTGCCTCTCGGGTCAACATTAGGAAGCCAGCCACACAAGCATCATCAGGCAAAACCTTTTGGTCGCAATTATTGGTAAACCAAGTCAGCTATGTCTTGAATAAAAGGACTTTATTTGGTTCATGTAACAGCATGGGCTTCAGGCACAGCTGGATTCAGGGGCTCCGGGGACATTAGAATCACGTCTGTTCATCCCTCGGTTCTGTTTTCCTTTGAGATGCTTTGGTTTTCAGGCAGTCAGATCCCATGTGTTGGGAAGAGGGCACCCGGAAGCTCTGTGCTTGTCTTCTACCAGCTTCACACCCTCAGCAAAGAGCCCCTGCTTCCCCGAAGCTCCAGCAGGAGTCTTGAGCCTTATTCTCATTAGTTTGTTCCCAAACCAATCATTTTAGCTCTGGGGACTCAGAGCGCTGGAGAAGCTTGTATTGGGTATTGAGCTCTGGACGTCAGAACAGAGTTGGGTGGGAAAGGAAGTCCATCCCTCCAAATCTTATGGATTGAGAGTGGGGAAGCAGTAGGTCCCCAAAGAAGAAAAGACCTATTATCTAGAAAAACAATCTGTCCTCAACCTACCATTCTTAGGAAGAAACTAGAACTTGGTCTCTTGGTACAACTCAGACCAGATAAATGCAGGTGAAAGTACCCCACCCAGAGCGGTTCATTCATCCTTAGCTGAAGACATGAGTCTGTAGGCTCACTTGCTTATCGATATGATGTCATGCATAAATGATGCTTTTGTGCACTGACCTTGGACTGGTGGACACATTCCCCCAGTCTGTTGCTCAACCCAAGGGTACTGCTTAGGCCAATCCTCCCCTTGGGGTATTCCCAGGAACCTGATAGACAGGAGCTGAGTGTGTGGCCTTCTGTCCCCAGGAAGGGTGGCATGTGCGGCCAGATCCTTCCTTAGTCCTTGGGGACCAATCTTCCAAGAGGAAATGAACACGCAAAGGCCTTTGGCTGGAAGCACACAACTAGTTTGTTTGTTTTTTAATAAAGTCATTACAAATATGTACAAAGCGTCTCCAAGGTATGAAATTCCTCTTACAAAAGAGCACAACGAACCAGCAAGGGTAGAACCCGGAACGGAATGTCCCCAAGCTTACTGCCCCCCCAGCTGAGTCAGAGGCCTCACTGAGGATCCAAGCAGCTCCACAGCCATCCCCACCACACACGGGGTTCCTGGGCGCTTATAGTGCAAAAGACCTTGAGGGGAGGAAATTGGGGGTTTGAGTTGGGGAGGGAGGAGATAAGGAAGGGAGAAAAACTTCCCATGTCCTAGGAACCAAGTCAAACAGACCTTGTTTGCAAATGAGATACTTGTCCCAGGGACCTTACAGAAACCAAGAACACAGAGGGCCAGGAACAGATAGAAAACCCCCAGCTAAGCCATCCAGCCTGTCCTGGAGTGCCCCCAGATGCAACCTAAGTGGGGCTCCCCTGCCCCTTACTGGGCCCCAGGCATGTGCTTGCCTTTGAACTAGCGATGCTGTGGAAGGAACTCAGTGGAGCAGGATGGTTAGCTCATGGGCTTGGAGAGAAGTGGGACCGGGGCAGCAGAGGGGGGCGGGGGTCACAGAAACCTGAGTCCAGATCTTGGCTCAGTCACTTCACTCTTTGCATGCAACTTTAGCTAAGTTGCATAACTTCTCTGAGCCTCAGCTTCCTCAACTGGGAATAATACCAGCACTGTCTTCCAATGTGGGTGTGAGGAATAGCTAAGGGGTAAATGCAGAATGCACTTGGCACAGCTTCTTTGCTGTGTGAAGCAGCAAGAACCAGCCTTTTCATGCTGGGAATGAGCTGAGGTCATCGGCTTTTGAATTGCCTTCACGAGTGTAGCTCTTAGTAAATATAAATTCTGTAGAACAACCTGCCAGCAAGGCTTGGGGTCACAGCGATGACCTGACAAATCTGTTAAAGACCATGAACCAGACTGGAAAGAGACATTGAATATCGTCTGGTTCTAAGCGGGTGTACCCCACCATGATCAATACATAAATCTCTTCCCAGAGGACATTCTACAACCTGGCATGTTGTAGGTGCTCAATAAATAGGTGTTGAATGAATTAATTGAATTTTTTAAAAGTAAACTTTCAGTTTACACTTTAAAATGACACATTGACATCAGCTTCCTCCATCAGTTCCCATGGGACAAGGCTAAAGTGTCTAGCCTGCCCCCCTTATCCCCTAAACCAGCTTCTGACCCTGTGATGGGCCCAGGTGGATTTAGGGGGACATTTGGAAAAGGAAATGGTATCAACATAGAAAAACAAAACCTGTATTCTGATCACTGCA